TAATTTATTAAACTTTATAAAAAGCAATTATAGATTGCTTTATATATATATATATTTTTTTTTTTTTTCATTATACGTAACCATGTGAGCGCGTGAACAGATGTATCTAATGTATACCTCGTTTTTTTATATTTCTCGTAACTCTCGATATTTTTAGTAAGACAATATTTCATCACTTAAAAAGATGTGTAAGAAGAAATATTTGCACCATGCATGGCTGCTCATTCTGACCGTTATAATATAAATATGTATCTTTCATCGATGCGGATATCGTTTTACGAGACGACGTGAGATATTTTCAATTCTTTCGTCGGAAAGAAGTACCGTCAAAAGAAGAATGTAAAATGTCATAACAAACGTTTAAGCGGATACGAGTATGTCTGACGATATCCGAGCTCGATTTACTTTTGACATTAATGTATAATTAACATATGTGTATATTACTATGATCCAGTATTAATCGATGAGATCACAGTATTATCAAATAGTTTTTCTCTATGTAAAGCTGTACTATATTTATTTAATAAAATATTAATATAAACGTTCATATAAATTCCAACGTATCAAAATCCGAATTTTCTTATTGCCCTCAAAAGATTTAGACAACTACACAGGAAAGAATATTTTGTATTTGTGTTAATTCCTTATTCCTTGTTAAATTTTAATTTAGTATTAAATTTTTAACATATTCAAGAATTAATTTAACATAATGTGATTATGTTTTTTTTAATTAAATAATTTGAGTTAAATTGATATTAGACATTTCTTATTATTAAAATTGCACAATTTATGAGTAAATAGACATGTAATATAAAAATAATGTTTTTTTAAAAACATACGTTCTAAGATAAATAAATAAAATGTGTTAATTTTACATATTAAATATTACACATTAAATATTAATTTTAATTATGAAGTATTTGCTTAAAAATTTAACACAGATTTTCCAACTGTATATAGCGTTCTTGCAATAAGATTTTATCAAAATCGCTTTGCGTTAAAACTACAGCAAATATTTACTATGCGAGTGTGTTACAAGACAGCACCGTAAAAAAAATAAAAGTTACAAATGACCCATGATGAAATGAATGAAATATACACTTACGTCAGTAACTGCTAATAAAAAATTGTCTTGCCTCACGAAATCTAAATTAGCACAAACCACATGAGTTTCTCCTATTCGATTCGATAGCTGCTTTTGGAGAACGCGATTCTTTCAACACGTAGAAAGTAACTTCTTTTTTTTTTTTGATATGATTTACGAGTGAATTGTACAAGTAATGTGTATGCAGGTTAACGCGAGTAGGATTGTAGAGATGAAGAAGGATTATGTTTTGCCGCTCCCACTTTGTCCGTGGAAACACTTTGAAAATCCAAGAAAAAGAACAAACTTTCTTTTCGCACTGCATTCTTCATCATATTCTCTCTCTTTACTATCAGTAAAAATTTAGTATAAATATCAAGATAAATATCTCTAATATATAAAATAAATCGAGATGCGCGCGACTGCGCACATTTGTCCCCATGTTTTCCAGCGTTAATAATAAAATATTGACGTAAAGCGTGGAGATGTATACATACACAGGACGTTTCAAAATTTTGCAAGCTTGTAATATTTATTGAATCGAATAAAAAGCATTTAACTGAAGTAAATACGCAAATAAATCTGCTTAAAGAACGAGCATTCTGTAATAGCTCCGCTTTGAACAAACTGATTATTCGTTGTTTATCGTTTGTAGAAACAAAACATATTTTACAATTGATGGAATTATTTTATTATTTTAATATTTTAATTCGCTGTTTATCTATAAAAGCGAGAAGTTTTTTATTACAAGTAAACAGAATTATTTTATTATTTTAATATCTTAAGTTTAACTTTAGACGATTTATGTATAGATTATGTCACAATCCAAAATAGAATTCTATTTGAAATTTTATGCACTACATATGTAACACAGAAACATTTAAAGAAGTAAACTTAAAAAAACTTATAAAATAAATGAAATATAAAATTCTAATTAAAATATTTTATCGTGGAATATAACGTGAAATATAATAAAAAATGAATATAATAAAAAATGAAAATTATTTAAAATAGGTTTTAAAAGAAACGCATTATGCATTCTTCCATTTCAATACATATTTATGATATATTTATTCAATATATATTTATTATCCTTGTATCATCAAATTTCGAATTTATTTAAAAATTTATAACGTATATTTCGAATCAGTTGATAGTTGATAGTCTCTCAACAAGCAATATTTATGTATTAATATTTATACAATAAAATTTACATGTTAAAGTATCAAACCATTTTTAATAATTTATAATTCATGTCCTCTCAGAATTTAGAATAGACTTTTATATATGATTTTATCACATATAAAATGTTTGTCAAAAAAAAAAGATAATAAAATAAAATACATACATGGCAATATACAATATAAAATTAAGATCTGACACAAATGAAAAATCGTTACAGTGGACTTTACAATATATTACAACAAATATATTACTAAATAACCTTCATTATTATTATTATTTATATATCACACACACGCACGCACGCACGCACGCACGCACGCATGCACGCACGCGCACTCACACTCACACACACACACACACACACACACACACACACACACACACACACACACACACACACACACACACACACACACACACACACATATGGATAAATAATTGTCACAGCAAAAACTAGCTATTTATTCTAAAAGAATTGTTTGCGGACCTATTTTGATTAATTGTAAGTACTTTTTATTCAGCTTAGCAAATATTGCAGACAAATATTGCAAAGCTATGACCAACTATCTGGAAATGACTCACACTCTGTACATCTAGATTAAGATAAAGCAACGTCTATTAAGAGCTTGTAAAAATAATCGTTTAACAAGCCAAGTGAGAAATTGCCGCGGCGCGGTTCGCACGCAGGCGCAAAACGCGAGCATCTCCGTACACTTCTAGGGGTAGTTTCGATCGTCGAGGGATGAACTATGCCGTGCTGCCGCCCGAGACGCCTCAACCTCGTGCGTTGCTCCTGTGCGATGCTGTCTGAAACGAGAACTTTCGCGCCGCCGTCGTTTCATGACAGTGACGGGCCTGCGGAGCGTGTGGTGCCGGTCGGTCGCGATTGCGTAATCGTTAATCGAGTGTCAGCCTTCGGCGACCGGAAGAGGGATCCTCACGGTCCGAAGAGGATTCTGTGATCGCGCATCGTCACCGGAGAGGATGTGCCGATCGTGGTCGAGACGAAATCAGCCGTTGGCTCTGTCAACGGCTAACTCGGACGGTCTGCAATCTAAAATCGAGTCTGTAAAATTTCATTGACGAACCTCGGTTACGATCATTCTTCTGCAAAATTGTTTCTCCTCGGGAAGCAATACACGTAAAGCAATACTGGCGCATGGATCGCGTCTGACAAGTTACGCTCATCTCCACTTTGCTCTACCGTTTCCTTATATCGATGATTGTAAATATCAAAGAAAAATGATAATAATATGACGATGTTCTACAACAATGCTATTTAAGATGCATGCGGCGTTCGCCGAATCCGAGTGCAGGTGGATCGGATTCAGCTGAATTAGGCGTGCGCAATCCGAAGAAATCCTGAGACCGAGGGTCGATGATCAATCAATCACGAAGCAAATCGATTGTCAATCAACGAAGTACAATCTAGAATAATTGCTAACAATCAAAATCGGCGCGTAATCTCGAGACGAGTTTTAGATCTCTATCTTATTGATACATCAAAACGATATCACTTATATTTATCCACAAATTAAAATTACATTAGTAATGGATTTTTTCTCATCATGATGCATCAGGAATACTCATCGAGATTACGCCAGTTACAATCCCTCGACTTTACGATACTTGAAGAATAGCGCGTACCGATCAGAATGATCGGACATTCGATATTAAGGAACATATGTACGTGAGTTACGTAATACGCCTATCTGTAAAGTAATAGGTTACAGTAGACGTCCCCAGAGAGAACATGAAGGAGATGAAATCAAATCTGAGATTGCTGTTTGATTAATGGAGCGAAGAAACACTCCCGATAAACAATGAATCTCAGCTCTTTTAGTCTATAATCTAGTCAACGAGACTGAATAACACTGGTTCTTAGATTGTAAAAGCTAAAATAAAGAGTGAGATAACCTTTTTATCAAAGGGAATAATCCATTGCCATTTAATGATACATCCGAAACCAAAGCAAATAAAATAAAGGGAAAAAAGAGAGAGAAACTAAAGTACAATCGCATATGCGCACGTGGGTTATAATTGACAGAATTGGATTCATCTTAGTCATTAGAAGGCTCAAACAATGCAATCGTATCGGAGTTAACGAGGACTGGCACGGCGCAAGTTGTGAGGAATTTTTTGCGAATCACCGATAACCATAGGTACAAAAACTGCGAGCGGCTGGAGGAGGCGAAGCCTCCCGCCGCACAAGCATTATCGTAAGTATTATGAGTCTTGCAAAATGTCTACCATTTTATTATATTATCTATGTATATTATATTTTATATTTATTTATTTTT